TAACCTCTGCTCCGGTGCCTGGAGCCCCTCCTGCCCCTCCTTCTTCACTGGCCTTGGTGTCTGCAGAGTTGTGCCTCTCACATGTTCTCGCTCCTCACTCCAGCTGCAGTTGCACAGGTGTTTTTTTCCCCCTTCTTAAATGTGTTATCCCAGAGGTGCTACCACTGTCACTGATGGGCTCGGCCTTGGCCAGCGGTGGGTCCATCTTGGAGCCGGCTGGCATTGGCTCTATCGGACATAGGGGAAGCTTCTAGCAGCTTCTCACAGAAGCCACCCCTGTAGCACCCCCCGCTACCAAAATCTTGGCACAAAAACCCAATACACCAGTACTTAGAAAGAAGGATTTTTATCCCAGATATAATTCTGTATGAATAAGATACAATATCCCACAGCATAAAACCTGAGTAATTGGGCATTGCACAGCTCACTAAGCACAGATTTGGCAGGGGGTATAAAATTAATCTCTGACTTGCAAGTTGCTCTATGTCTGCTTTGCAGACGATGTCTGGCATGAGCGTGCAAACGACTGTATACTTTGCTCACTCTAATCCTCCGGTGACCACCAGGATTGCTGAGAAATGGGGCTTATTGGAAAAGCTCCATTTGCGCCCAGAGGCATTCCACGTAGCTTCCATATAGGATTTAAATAGCCATGAGGCCTTGTGCTTATCCTTCAGTTCTCAGAGGGACGTCACCATTTCCAAAGAGGCAATACTAATGTCTGCATGCTTGAAATAATGAATGTACTGGGCCTTTGGCAACTGCTGCAGAAATAATAGGCAGTTTTAATAAAAACATGAAATTATCCTCCCCGATACAGTAACTAATTTGAGAAGAAACGTATTGAGTTTTGAACCATTAGCTCACTGCACAGGATAGACTTAAAAGCAGAGAAGAAGGAAGAAAGCACCTTTTTCTAAACTTCCTGAATGGAATTGGCATCCCTTGCAATGGCAAAGGGGAAGAAGACCTTCTGACAATTGTGTAGAGCAATGAACAGCTCCACCTGTCCTAGCTCCAGCTTTCCCTGAACTTCACTACTGCAGAGGTAGCTTGGTTCATTTGCCCTTGGCAGTCATTGCCTTTTGATTGTAGGTATGTGAGGTGATAGCCCCATTTCTAGGAGGCACAAGTTCATATAAACCCAATAGTTGCTTTTGAGAAACCAGATTACTGAAAAAAAAAATCATTATGCAACGATTTAGGGGAAAATTCATGTAATGAATTTGAATAAGTAATGTGGTAGTACATCTATTTTCATCTCATATTCCAGCAGTCTCTATTTTACAATGATCTCTAGATTACTAAGGTGTTACTCTCAGAGGAAACATTTGCATGTGCTTTCTATATTGGATATCCATTGCCAAAAACCCGATACATCATCAGCTCATGAGCATCTTTTCTGAATATATCTTACATCTACAGAAAAAAGCTTTCTCACGGAATCCTTCTTCCTATCATTCTCAGCAATTTAACAGGCTGATTTATAAACCAATCACAGCAGAAGTGTGTTTGCAGAACTTTGCTGAGTTTTGATGAGACTGATGTGGCAGGTAGCAATTATTAACAGAAATAACAACAACTCCCCAATTGTAAGAACATTTTCTTTTCTGAAGTAAAGCTGTAAATCTGTGTCCTTTGATCATTTAGAAGTAGTACAGTATGTTGTGCAGCTTCTGTCTCTGGAGGGACATAAATAAATTACTCTGTAGCAGTCACATTTGATAACTGAAACTACCATTATAGTACCTGTGGCAAGCCTTCCATTAGTGTACCTTTCAAAATGCAAAATTGTCTTGGCAGCCAACATTCTATTTATTATTCTTTTTCTATTCTTCTGTCTTCTATCCTTTGAAAGAAAAATAAAATTTCCAGAAAGTTTCTCTTAGTATTCATTACATTTTGCAAGATCAGTTGTGTTTTCTACAGTCACGGATAATTTACAAGAGCTAGAGCTGCACCTGTAATATGCCATAAAAAGGAGAGAGAAAATGTAGCTGTGTAATCACAATTTTCGACACAACTTGATAGTAATAAGTTCTAATACGATGAGAAGTACATACAGTATCCTGTAATCTCAGGCTAAACCTAACCACATTGATTTTCTATTTCCATGTAAAAAGCAGATTTTCATTTCCTTCAGTTAATCCTAAACATAGTAGCTTTGACACAGTCCAAAAAGCTTTGTTTTTCTTGCAGCCAAGATTAAAGTGTACAGTATATTAGCCTGCTGATGAAATAAGTGAGGATAACAAATAGATCATGACAAGATGAGAAGTATCAGAAAGACTATGAAATAGAAGTGTCACACTCTGAAATAGTATTCTTTATTTATTTTTTCTCTAAACACCATATTTTTAATTCTAGCACTCCGGCATTGGTGGAGCAGCAGCTGGCAAGAAGAACAGAACTTGGAAGAACCTAAAACAAATTCTTGCTTCCGAAAGGGCATTGCCATGGCAACTAAATGATCCTAGCTGTAAGCTGCTTAGACACTTTGCATGTATTTATAAATAATAAAATCCACACAAATATCTTTCTTTAAAACAAACCTAAATTATTTCATCAGTGCGTACAGTATCCCCCTTGAACAGGGTCCAGTAGCACTTTTAAGACTAGTCCAATCACACTTGCCAACCCTAAGTGGAAAGTAGGGGAAAGCAAATAATTTGGAGTATTGTGAGAAAGTTCAAATACATTTGGGGATAGAGTTTAATAAAGGAAATTTATATATCCGAACCAGGTCAGAAACGCCTTATTCCCATCAGGTTTTTGTCACCTCTTCACTGCTGAGGAGCCTCCTCCTCTGCATAAAGCCCAAGTGTCTTTTGACAGCTTCTGACTGCTTGATTAGCTATATTTGAACTCTTTTCAAATACATTCTGCTAAGCCACATACCTGCAGTAGCTTAGACCTCAGCCCAAGCTTCCTATCCAGCTCCTTGTCCTAGATTCTTGGGAAATTTAAATCCTACATCCCTTATTTCTGCACAGCTGAAACTACACTATTAGCAGTTCTGATTGCAGCTAGCCGGTGCTCATCTACAGGAGCAGAGTTACAGCAGTGGTCTTAATCTAGATATACTTCAAGTCTACTCATAAAGTAGGATAATATTGAACGTAGCTGAAGACAGAATGTGATCCTCAGATTTTACTTAAGCAAGTGGAGGCATCTCAGAATTGAGCAGATGCGTATACTTTTTGTCAGAGTTGGTACTTTATCCAAAAATAGCTTGCCATTTTTTGAAGTGTTTTAGACGCAACTGTTATAGGAAAATGCAGACTACTGTGTGTTCCTGGCTATTGTAACTGACAATCTGCTGATATTGCTATTTCTAATACGTTCTATTTGCAACGGTAAATTTACAGGCTTTTTTTTAAGAAGGTGGGAAAAGAAATTCAGTTGCATATTTAAAACCAGCTGTCTGTGGCATTAGTGTCTTTTGAATTATGAGATGATGAGTTAGAAATTTGATATGTGTGGAGCATTTGAATTGATCATAGCATCTGAATGAGGTGCAAGGGGCATCAGGAAGGAGGAAAGAAATGAGTCAGGTACAAGATATTTTTGTAAACATCAAAAATTGGGGATTTAACTACTTAAACATACCAACTGTATGTTAAAAATGTTTATGAATGAGAGTTGTTATCTAAAGGGCACCAAAGAACAGCAATTTCCATCATTTAATTTAAACATTCAGACAATTTTCTAGGTCATTGACTGGGCTTAAAGTGGTACATGCTTAAAGATTTAACTGATTTGAAAGATTACTTTGCTTTTCTGGATTATAGTTTTTCAGAGCTGCAATCTTGAGCAATGTTTCATGGTCTTAATGTATACCACACATATGATAATGACTATTCTTTGCAAATAACTGCAAGGGAATTCATTAAGACTTGAAAGAAATCAACACATTTCAGATAGCTGTCTTGCATTTTTCCTTTTGGGGAGGGCAGTTCTGCTTACTGAACTCTTATTTAGAGAGGTGAGCAAAATCAGGCTGTTTATAGTGCTAACAGGCTAAATGTTTTCACAGGTAATCCTGCTTCCTATTTCTTTGCCTTAGTGCTGCTAGTTAATAGAGACCTCAGAAAGTAAAGGCAGCACTTTAAAGAAGTATTTTTACCTATTTACATTTTTGGGTTTGCATTTCAAAATATATATAGCACACTGAATTTATCCCTTTGTTTTTCTCTAGATTTTAATATTGATGCTCCTCCTTCCTTTAAGCCTGCCAAGAAATACTCGGACATTTCAGGACTTCCGGTAATATTTTATTTTATTTTTCTCTTCAAAACTGGCATCTCGCTTTCCACAATGAAATAAAGCTGGTGCATGCTTTTGTAAAAGCTCTACTTGCTCTACTTGCTGAGGTTCCTGTTCAGCGTTGCGCTTAATAGTTGTCCAGTGGCTTAGGGCCAAACCCCAAATACTGTCACTACCTGACAAAATCCTTAGGTTGTTAATAGAAGTCCGGACAGATTAAATACCTTGTCCAGCTAAGTGGCTCCTATCACACCACTCTCCCAGCTGTAGAGTCTGCATTGGTCCCCATAATTTCTGATTCTTTAGATTGTTACAGTGAAAACTGGTGGCCCACAGTTTCCGTGACTCCTAACTTCGCCAAGCTTTAACCACACAGACTGAAACTTTCCATGCTGAGTGTTTGCCTGAGGCCAATTTTTTTCATTGTATCTTTCAGAGAAAGTTTCAAAAAGATGGCTCAGCAATTTCCAAGAATGAAATTAGGCAAAATTATATTGATTGGCCCAGGTTAAAAAAAAAAAAAAAATTGTTACCATTACTTGCAAACTTTCCCTCAAACAAATCAGCCTGAGATAGACACTTGGCATGGACTTTTGAGCATTTCAAATACCCCCATGCTTCAGAGCTGAAACTTGGAGTTTGGCAGATGTATAGCCTGTATGTCACAGATGGGCTCTTTTACATGGTTTTATTAAAGAAAAAAGAAAAGGGAAAAAAAACCCTCCACATTTGACATAGATACAGTTTGCACATGCTCCAAAAAGTCTCAGTAGTTACAATTTGGCACCTGAATTCCCCAGAGATTCTGTTGGCACAAAGCAGGAGTAAAGTCATTGAATTCTGCCCAACAAAGATTTTCTATCTGCTGCTGACACTGTTCTATGTGACATGAATAAATTTACTTAAAACAAAACAGGTGTTAGTAACAGCATATCTTTTCACTTTTCACCTTCAGCCCTCAGTGATTTATTTTGAAGAAGCCTACACATTCATTACAATTGAAATGAATGGGAATGTTGTATTTTGGACTAGAAAAAGGGCTAAGTAATGGCTCCACTAAGTAACTACAATAATGAAAACTTCGTAACGTCGTATAGCCTTAGACAGAATTTCTGGGTCCCTTCCCCCAGTTTAATCTGTTTCTCATCCATAGGGCACTAGCCCACCTCACAGGGCTGGTATGACCTCATAGAGATGCCTGTAAATACACACATTTGTTACATTGATGCAGGTTAACACAGCACCTTGCATTCAGGAATTAGGTGAAAGTCCCCGTTGGGAAAGAAAAAAAAAGGTGAGCACTTAATTAAGGACTGCCTTATAGGGGATACACAGTGCAAGCAATCAAAGAATAGCTATAGCGCCAACTGTAATCGTGCACATCCTACCATTTGAGTGCTTGATTTGGCAGCGTATGTTTTCTTTGACTTTTTTATTTTTTTAAGTAACACATTTAAATAAGGCACCTAGGAGGTGGCATGCTTCCAGCCTGTGCCTTTGAGCATGATTTGGAAATGGAGTGGGTTGCTCGGATCGAGGCTGGTAACCCTTGGTGTTCAAGAGGGAATGGGAAAGCAACATCTCCCTCGCAAATGATCTGGCAGACAGCAAATGGAAGAGACTGCTCACAAACCCAGGGAAAATAATTCCCTCCAGCCAGGCAGACTTACAGTCTTGTACTTGTAAGTGTATTGTTTTGATAGAATAGCAACTTGTTTCAGACAAGGAGCAGGGGTCAGTTGAATAAGGAGCTTTGCATAAGTACCCCACTCTATATAAACATGCAGTGGATGGAGGAAGCGGGGATAGGTGGACATGTGAAATAATAATGAGCAGATTTCACCAAAACAGCAAAAAATTCCATACTGGGTCACTTAATGGTGTTCATCTGTTTCCTATCCTCTCCCCTTAGAGTTGCTTTGCAAGTATTAGTAGCATTCACACCCGGCGTTATTAGTGTTGCAGCAACATCTCTGACCTGTGAGGGACTTATGTGGGGCAGATGGCATAAAGGCGTAAGTCCCTTTCACTGTCCCATCTCCAAGGAACCAAATAATGCTTTCCAGCACTGGCCTTTGATGCATTTCAAAACTAGTCAGTCGTTGCACCTATAGTGAGATGATGCAGGTTATAGATGTGAGTGAAGACAGTGCCCCTACCAGCTAAGGGTCAGTTTAGCCATAGGAAATACGAGTCTGTCTTTCAGTTCCTCATTTTTTCTTTGCCAGCTCCTCCTTTCCATCAGTGATTTATGTACTTTAACTATTCTAGCTCAGTATAAATATTCTCCTTTCTGTACGAATCCATTCAGTGCTGCTTTTGTTTCCTTTTTTTGTCTTTCCACTTTCTTTCTTATTTGCTTAATTTTCCATCCTCTAATTGCATTGTGAGTCAAGTTTCCTATTTTACCTGGCCTGCAAGGTTTCTCCAGACTATGATAAAAATACTGTGTTTAATAAAATCTTTTTTATTAAGATAACCGAGACAGCGTTTCCTTTAAATTGCTAAGCCAGAAATGTTTCATAAGAAGCACTAAATTTATTTTCAAGATCGCTTCCTAGTATGAAGATACGTGGAGTAATATAATATTTTAGAAATCTAATATAAGAAAAATATCCCTGTATTTTCTGTGTAAAATCTGAAAGCATTTGTGTAAGAATATATTTTCTATGGGAATGCTGGATTCCCCATGGAAAAAAAAAAAGTAAAATAAATTCCTTAGCATTACCCATTTGGGGAAGAATTAAATGGTCTAGCAGGTACAAAAAAAGAGAAGTGTATTAAAACAATCTCATCAGTATACCTGCAGTTATATTAAATGCCACAATTAAATTCTACTGATACTATTCTCTTTCTGTGTGTAACACAAATGGAATTAAATTTACCAATGGTCTAAGCAGAGCAGCCAATTTATATTTGTAAGGCATCCTAGAATTCAAAAGCTATTATCTACTATATTGACACTGCAGAATAAAACTTTATTTCCCAACTTGCAAGATGAGTATTTAGATATTTTAATATGCAAAACAACGTAATTTATTGCAAAGTAGATTTAAAAAAACCCCAAACGTTCAAATGTTTATATTCCTCTTCCTTTTCTGAAAATGGATCAGCCTTGTTACTATAGAAACAGATCGAGATAACTAATTTATTGTATTTGAAGAGCATGTATCTGTGGCCTTTGACTTAGTTTCTAAACATGAGGGTTTTTTTCTTTGCAAAATCACCTTACTTCACTGTTCTAATCTGTTTTAATTATTTCTGAAGTAGCAGTAAAGTTCGTTTTCAGACTGAAGTCATGGCATGAATGACTGGTTACCATACATTAGTGTGTGCAAACAGTACAGCCCAATACGAAGTATCAGAATGGTGAAGAACTGCCATAATGTTTTTAACCTAGATTGGTGTGCCACACAAATTGCAGATATTGCTTGGCTAGTTTATTACAGAATCATGCACGTTTGAAAAGCAGTCTACTTGGTTAGCTTTTTCTTAGATACATGAGGCCAGATTTGAAGTGTGAAATAAAAATAAATCTATACCTGCTGTAACCATGAAGTTACCACCAGGGATAATTTACTCCTAATGTCCTAACTGTGCTATTTGTTTGAAAATGAATTGATGGTTTGACAGTTAGCTGACTACATTTAATTAACCTTGTAGCATTTCTTTCTAAAGAAACAAGCTACAAATAACACTGAATTTTCTGCTAAGTCTTATCAGGCCAGACGATTAACTGGATTGCCACCGTGGTCAGCACATCCTTTCCAACACAAAAATGGTAGAGGGCTCTGCACTTCGACAGTATGGATGGGGGAAATGCTCCAGCTCTTCCTGGCCTTTTCTTTTTTAGTAGCAATGTCTTAAGGGATCTCAACTGCCCGTGCCTGGCAGCCTGCCACCGTCTCCTGCTAAAGAAAGGTACAGAAGACAGTTTCAGAGCCTTGGCAGGCACTTGGTAATTCAATGCTGAACGGGCAGCGATTGTCCTGGAGGCTGAAGGTGGAGAGGCGATGCCCTGAAGCCTGCCGTCTTCCAGCCCGGCCTCCTGTGCTGCCCCCGAGCTCATCTGAGCTCAGGGTTTCTGTAGCAACGGCGAAGGGGAGAGGGTGGAAGGAAACTGGCACCGCTCCCAGGCACCCAGGGTCCAAATATAGCAGAGGATACAAGCGTAGCCCAGGGTTAGCTGGCCAGGCTGCTAGCCTGAAAGCAGGCGTCTGTAGCAAAGCACAACGCCGAGTTCAAATTTCTTATCAGTTCAGTCACAGAACCATAAGCTGAGACGCCCTTGCTTTAACAACCACTTTAAAGTAAATTAAAAGCTCAGTTGTATGCAGGAAGAGAAAATCAGTCCAAAGCTATCAGAGCACCCATAATTCAGCCTCTTTGTGCGTAATTTATTGGCAGCAGCCTGACTCTTTGGAGAGCTGCCGTGTGAGAAACTGCACAAGGCACAGAGTTGCTAGGGTGAGCTTAGAGAGTTGGGGAATTTCTTTTGCACTGTGTTGTGTATGAAACTATTTCAGCCCTCTGTTATGTTTAATGCATTTCTAATGTGATTTTATAGGGGCCTGTTAACTTCTCATAAGTTCTGACACGAGGAGAAAGAAAAAAGTACAAACTTTTGGTCACATGGTAGAACAGCAGTGCTGTTACTGGGAAAAGAAATTCACTATTTTGCGGTCTTGTAATTAGACACTTTTTTTAGTATTCTGTTTCGAGATGTTCTTTGAACAGTATCTCTGCCATTGTTTCTTTTTCAGGCAAATTACACAGATCCCCAGAGCAAGCTGAGATTTAGTACTATTGAAGAATTTGCCTATATTCGGATGCTCCCTTCAGATGTGGTTACTGGATACCTGGCTCTAAGGAAAGCAACAAGTATTGTTTCCTGAAGGGACCAAATATTGTTGCATATTGCTTGTGAATAGTGCTAATTTTGAGAATCATGATGGAAACTGACTGCAGGACTGAGGTTCCTTAAAACTATCCGTGGATATTTACATCTGGAAGTAGTTGATGATACACGGATTTGAAGAACATATGGATTTAATTTTGATAAATGCTGATATTTGTTAGTTTGCCAATTTGTAAGCAATTTGGTCTGGTGAACAGAATAACTTAGAACTTAAGGATATGTATCTGCACCATAATGTCTGAGTTATATTAATTTCTGTAGAGACAGGATTTCATCTCCACCCCGTGTATTTTATGTACTGCTCTGGCTCAGAAGAAACAGTCATTTGAATTAAGGAAAAGGTACGAAGATATCCCCACTTCTAAACCTGCCTTGCCAGATGCACTTGCCACTTGTCTGTGAAGAAGTTTGTCCTATCTGTAAAATGAAGCTAAAATACCTAGCAAGTGCTGCTATTCTGATGACTGTTTATGGTATTGAGCACTGTGGAAATGAACAGCTTCACACAGATATTTGTATTGAAGAACTGTCAGCATAAATAAAGTTGGATTCAAACTTGTTTTTAAAATATCCTAATGAATATGTATAACAGGATCAAATCAAATCACCAGGTAACTCTTAATCATGACACTTTGTAGTGTTTGAGTGAGTGCTTCATTTCACAACCTGACTATTCTTCTACCTTTCCTAGTTAGTACAATATTAGTACTATTTAGTACAAAAAAGTAGTAATTTCCCGGACTTTTTAAAAATGATGCTAAAAAAAGTAGGAATTCCACTGGCCAGTGGTGTTCTGACACCCAGATGGTCTTCAGCAAGGCAAGTCCTCCTACGTCAGGACACTGACCTTTGCCCCATGAGGTATCAGAAGAATAACCTATAGCAACTCCTCCCTTTAGAGGAAGGAGACTGAAGGAGAGTTTGGACTCTTACTGGGGCGGGACTGACAAGTACCTGCCAACATCAGAATGACCATGGCTTCCTGAAATGAAGTCCAGGGGCAAGGGGGCAGAGGGTTTTCTGCCCATTCTTGCTTTTTGTCCTCTTTCTTATGACAGGCTGCTGATTTGTTGTCTTCTCACTTCTGCACCTTGCCAAGTTTTACTCTGGACTCCAAGTTCAGGCTCAGCCATTCCTAGTTTCCAGCCACGTGGCCTTCATGCCCATACTCCACCAGCTGCCCTGTAGCTGTGGCACTCACCCCCTTAGCTCTCTGAGCCAGTGGGCCTTAGCCAGAAAGGCTGCTAGATGAGTTACCACTTGTTGTGGGAATGCTCTCTTCCTAGGTGCAAAACTGCCAAGTGGAAGACTTGTCCCATAGCTTGTTGGTCCTGGATTGCCCAGGTCACTAAGGACGTGAGACACTGATCATGGGACAGCAGTCCTGCCAAGCTCCATCATGGACACTGGGATCTTGTGCAAGACACCTCTTCTGAGTGCGCAAGCAGCAGGCATTGGTGCCTGGTTACTGTCTAAGCTGCATCTTCAATGCACGTTTCTATAGATGTGATAATTATTACCACAGATTTTTTTTTCTCATTGAAAGAATAAATATGCAGAGTGTTACTAATGCTAGTTTAATTTCAACTCCAGAACAGGAAAAACAATAATGGGACACATTGTTTAATGAAAGTCTGTGGGACTCGTTCCTCAGTTTTTGTGATCTAATATTTACAAACCCAAAGTAATTTAAAAAGTCTTTGACATGCTTACAATAGATCCTTCAGAGCCCTGGATACCAGATAATGCTACAACTGTATCACAGAACAAAAAAGAATAAGACAGGATATCTCTGTTCATGCCAGTAAGCATCCAAGCCACATTCTCTTTGCATCCGAGTTTTAGAATGGATGTTTTCAACTTACTTTACGTACTAAAGATGTGTTTATAAGATAAGCTTAACATTGATATGGAAAGAAAACACATAGAACTGCTTTAAGATTTATGCTTTAAATAAGCAGATAGCAGCTCAGAAAATCATATTCCACCAGCTTGTTCTCTCCTACAAATATTTTTAATGTTCTTTGGGAATGACCGTTTAGGAACCCAGGCTCCCTCACCATCAGAAGTGTTCTACGCACTCCTGTGCTGTATATTAAGATGTTGCTTCTCAGCTAATTTCTACCGTGCAGTGTTTATGCATTCCATTTTCAAAACCTAAGTGTCCTACTGAATCAATCAGCATCAGAAAAGTAAATACAGCTTAGATTTAGCAAAAATGTTAGTGACTCTTCTTTCAGTGTTTTCTGTCCATATGATGGCTGCTAGATTCCCTTTTCTTTCCTTGTTTCTCCCTTTGTTAGCTACTGGCCCTTTTTTCTTAGTCAGTAGTACCTCACTTTTACTCATTAGGCTGTGCAGTAGGCAAGCCAAGAGTGATGAGTCAGCCAGCAGCACCGCTCAGCCTTACATTGATCAACAACAGTTTGCTAGGTGGAACAATCAAAACGAATTTGTTTTAGCAGGAAGCTGAGGACAGAAAAGGTCTAGCAGCCAACATGTACAACGTCGTTCAGTCCGACTAGGTTCTTTTTGGGAACAGCATGTGGACCTGCTGCTCTCATCCATGCCTTCTATGAGAGAACTGAGCAATACCCACCTTGCTGCATATAAGAGAAAATACAGATAAGTGAAGAGCTAGTCTGTGCCAAGGAGTAGTTTTAAAGTATGTTTTATTGCCAGCTTTAGAAGAAGTGAAAATTGAGGAGTACATTTATATTTAAAAGTACTCATGGGATGTTATCTAGATAAACAGAAATAACTTGAATTTAAACTGCAAAGAGGTCAAAAGAAAGGCATTTGAAAAGAGAAGCAGCGACGAATACCATTTCAGGATTGGGGAGAACATATTTTGCCTAATTGTACTGCCACACCTGTAAAGCAGAAAGCCAGCAGTCAGGGTAAGGACTAATTTGTTCAGGTACAACTGTTACTATCTGTGAAATATCACCTGAATGCGTTACTTAATACAGACCACGGATGGCTTCAGCCTCACATGCATTTGCATTAATCTGTTCCCCTGTCATCCCCCTGCGTTACCCCTGTAACAGCTTGTTGCACACCAAACTTCAGCTGTGCTAAGCTCCCACAGCAATCCCACTGACATTAATGGGAAGTGAGCTTGTCCAGCAACTCGCAAGGCGCAGTCCAACTGGCAAAGCTTTACCCTTAGTCTTTTCAGTGGGTGGAAAGCATATTTTCCTTGCCTTATCTGTCCTATCCCTTAGAAGGAATGAGGATGTTTGCCAGAGGCCAAGCTCCTGTTTTCCTGCGCAGCTGCCTGCCCCAAACACTGCTGGTCCAGCAAACACTGGAGGTGGGGGGTCGCCTCCAGTTTACTGTGGGGTTTTTGGGGGTACCTGTGCCCATGGAAACGTCCTGCCCCAGTCCTGCCCTCTGCTGCATCTGTATTAGGAATGACTTTGGCCCCGTGACCTGGAAAGCAGCAAAATTCAACTCAGAGAAGCCCTGGTCCAACTCATTTCGAAGCCCCTGCATTTCACTGTCCTGTATTTTCCGGCTTTCTCCCATCACAGCATTCTGGATCCCTCTTACAATCTCTAACAATGTACATGGTTTACATACTCAAGATGAAATAGCACATAGTTTTTCTTTCTGAATTACTTCAGGGAAGACGACTTTCAAAGACTTGATGTCAGATTCTGGGAGAAAACCCCTGAGTTAGTGCTCTTTTAAACAAGAAGAGTCAAGCGGTATCTATATTGTTACTGAACACTCCAGGCACACTGAGATGATGATACCACTAATATTAGAATTCACATAAATCTCTTCATATTTCTCTCATTTTAGTATGCATCCCCCAGTTAAAAACCACTTTTCTCTGCTTGTTGGAGAGTGGATGGGTGGGACACGATAAAATAATACATCTTAAGGGAAGAAAAACATTTTAAGTCCATTTGGTATCTGTAAGTGTTGCTTGACTTGGTTTTATATTATCTGAGAAGCTTAACAAATCCAGTCTTTTCAGATGATTACGCTACTGTAAATAACAACCTACAGACAGCAATAGCAGTAATCTCTTGGGAGAAATAATAACAACAACTAACAAACACTGTTTAAACTACTGGTAAGTAGTGCTTGTGTAATTGCACATGGTTTATGACTATGAGATCACACGTGTTAAGTACAGAACATTGCTGTCTCTGACACCATAGCCTAAAATCAATAATCTCTACATAAAAATTATAGTACTCGTGGACTAGACAACAAGTTGGTTTTGAGGCTGGCTGTGGTTACTGTTTGCCAGTGTGTTCTCCTCCGGGCAAGAGCTCCCGTCGGTTGCTTGCGTGCTGACTGCTGTGGCTCCATTACTTGACTCCAGTACACCCAGCACAGCACCCCAGGAAACTGCATCTGGTTCATGGACAATCTGAAGTCTTCTCCAGTGTCCCAAATCTGGGGTGCAAAAATTACTCTTCTCTCAAGTGAAGAAATTGTTTACAAGCTGCTAACCACGCACAGCGCATGTGAACATTGTCCCTTTTCTCTGAGAGTCTTGACTCCAAAGCATAGTTTGTGTAAAAGGAGAATAAGTGCCCCTCTTGTGGGTACCTCTGTTTCAGCACAGGTCACACACAAGCAAGTTCTCAGCATCAGGTTTTGGAATTTCTGAAGACAGCTGCCTACCGGTTTGTGGGAAGAAAGCGTTTCCTGCCTCATCCTATCAAAATAAATTGGTATCCATGCACATTCAGTGCCTCCGTATAGATCTGATAAATCTACAGCAATAAAAGCTTATGAGCAGAGATGCAGGCCTGGTCTGCTTGGTCAGTACCTGGCAGGTGTTGGACACTGGGTAAGCAAGGGTAATAGGGAATGTCTGAATTTGGGCTGTGATCCCATTTACATCCCGAGGAACAGCAGTACTACAAGACAGCTTCTCTTGATTCTCTTCTCCCAGGGGAAGGAGATGCCTCTAAAAGGACACCATAAACACACACATGCATTGCCTACACG